CAGCTCGATTATAGTAAAGATGAACTAGTCCCTTTACAGAAAACTGATGTTTAATTGAAAGACACTGATATATATTAAGTATATCAATGTATAAAAATTCATTAAACAGGCTGAAAATTAGGTCGTAGCCCACACCGATTGAGGTGTATACATACACTCATACACTAAGGAACCTTACGATCTGAATACATTTGTCGACAGACGTGCGGTAGAGCGTCAGTGTAAGTAACAATGAATAAAATATTACATTTACCCTCTTTAAACTTCTAAATGTATAAAGTTCCAAAAATATGATAAAAGCCTTGCAATGGCATTGATATATTAATTTATTTTGGTTTTTCGAGGAAAACAATAACACTATAGCTCGGAGCGTAGATTGTTACTGTCTCAGACCGATGAATCTGAAGCATGAGTTCAAGAATTGACGAGGTAAGCCACTTTATCTAGAGGCTGATAGGGGGCGAGAAGAAGAGGAATGGTATACGGCATTAGGGTCTCAGGCATCACAAGTTTTACTACCAAGCTCAAAGGCAGCGCTCACGCTTCTACAGCCAGCCTGCAAAACCACAGCCCGAGCACACTGACGGAACCTCATGGTACACACAGACTCTATACTGATTTAACGGTCTCAGCTTACTGATCAGATAAGAGACAGAATTGCAAAGAGCTTAGAGCGCAATGTGAGCAGCTGTCCAATGAGCCCCAAGTGAATGGTGACTTCTTCCTCTGATCCAAGGGGGGGGCGCCTGCTTACAAGACTGAAATGTTTCGAACGTCTCAAGCAGCAGCCACTAACCAACGTCCTGAATCCGATGCTGCAGCCGATACCTTGGTCACCGCCCTCCTGGCGCTACATCACAAATCCAGCAGTTACTCCTCCCGGTCGATACCGACATCGGGAGATCCGACATCCGGATCCTGCACGATGAGCAGCAGCAATAGATTTCTTGAATTTTGGACGACCTTTTAGTTTTTTCAATTATGTATTTTGGATATTTTAAATTAATGTTCAGATAACATAAAATAACATTTTTATATGTTCTTGAATTGCGTGGTGAATATATGTATATATGTCCAATTTTCACAGGTGCGAAAAAAAATTATGGTTTTTCATAATAATATTTTTTTTTTTATTTTTTTTTCACTTGCGACCCAATATTGATACCAAAAAAGTAAAAATTTTTAAATTTTACATTCTGACGACCGATTTAAAAAAAATTGCGACAGATTTTACTAGCGACCAAAAAATTTCGAAACAGAATTTTCCAATTAAACCACGACAAAAAATTTGCGACTGCTTAATTTTCAAAAGTAATCAGTCCGCTAATATTGGCGACTGATGAAAATAATCAGTCGCAAAAAAAACCTTTGCGGACCAGGTATTTTGCGACCGATAGATACGTCGCAAAATCGGTCGCTAAGATGAAAATTAGCGACCGATTTATGAAGACCTTGCGACCCGAGTTGGTCGGCTCCAAAATGGCATTTTTTTGTAATGTTACCCAGATTTAGTTGCGTCACGAGCAGCATAAATCAGAATCCGTAACGGATCTAAAAGGTTACTGACGGAAAACCATTCATAATTCCCCAACGATTTCATTTTATTTTTTAATATCCTATTTTTAATGTGGAATCTAAAATGCAACCGGATTGAATGGATCTGGAGATTTTTAAGAAAAACAAAAGTTAGGTCACTCGAATATTCAGAATCCGTCACGCAACTGTTCTTCCAAAAAACAGCGCGTGAACGCAACTGTTCTAGGCTCCACAGAAATAAATTTTTTTGCTCTTTCAAAATTAACGAATTTTGTACATAAAATATTAATTTTTTTCTATAAATCCGAAAAAACAATAATTGTGAACAAAATTGCAAATTTAATTAAGTTTTGGAATATTTAAAAATGTAATTATGCATATTTTGGGTTTTTGAAATTTGGGTTAAAATTTTTTTAAATCGGGTTACAATGTTTTTTAGGTTTGGTTTGTGGCCCCCGCCTTTAAACCATAAGGCAAAGAAGCGGGTCTTTATTATTCCATTTATTTAACATGCTTTTGGTTTGAATGTTTGGATGATTATGGATGCGATGATTGAAGTTTGATTGGGATGGTTAATTAATTTTCCACATAAGAACTCCGGATTCGATTCATTCGGGTGGGTTAAGTAAATTAAATAATTTGGCTTTTCTAACTAAAACTAAAAATTAGAAATTGTAAGGTTAAAAGAAAGCCGGTTTCCCGGGCGTCGGCTTTCAACGGGCCGATGTACCCAATTCCCTTACCCAGGAATCGCAATATGTTGCGCCTGAGCAGTAACTTTTTTATAATAATGGCCTTAAATAGAAAATTGGGTTTAAAATGGAGTCAATTATTTTAAAAAATAAAAAATTGGAAACGGTCCATTTGCCGAAAAAAAATGGGTGGTAATTCAAAAAGTGGTTTTAATAAGACTATTTATCGCTTTTTATAATATGGCCTTAAATAGAATTGGGTTTAAAATGGAGTCATTTTTATAAAATAAAATTGGAAACGGTCCCATTGCCGAAAAAATGGGTGGTAATTCAAAAGTGTTTTATAAGACTGATTTATCGGCATCGCATCCAAAAAAATGTTTTGTCACCATTGTTCAAAACAAAAAACAAAAAAATCTTTCCACCAAAAAATAATCAATGGAACGTGTTTCGTGTCGCTCGGGGGCGGTCGACGAAAACAACTACTAATAATAAAGTTCTATATCCAATTTATATATTTATTTATAATTCTTGAGATTATTATTAATGAATTACCTTTTCAAAACCAATAAGTTTATTTTTCTAAAAATTTATTTTCTAACTAAATTTATAATCTCGTTTTGCGCTAAAAGCTCATTTTATTGATTTATTGATAGAAGAGTACATCCCAAACTCTTGAATTTATTCATAGTTTAATATTTAACACTTTTAATTAAGAGTGTCAAAATAAATTCTCAAAAAATTGAAAATATAAATTGAAATACTTAATGCACAAATTAATATTTAAGAATATAATAGCCAAAATCAACAAAATTCAGAAATTTCAAAACGCATTTTTTCTAAAAAATTATATACCGTGCGAAGCTATAATTTGTGTTCTGGTTTGACTTGCACATAGATTACGAATATTTAGTTAACTATAATTTGTTTTTAAAATTAATAAAACTTTTGATATGGTAATTTTGTTTATATCAAGATTTAGTTAATGATAATATAGTGGTTTGACTATTATATTTATTGACAAAAAGCATATTAAATAAAGATAAAATAATAAATTTTAAATATTATTCACTTTTAAAAAATAAAATAAGACAATAATTTGAGGCAGACAAAATTATGGAAGGAAGGGAGTAAATAATTGTAGTTTTAAAATTGGGCAAGTATTATAAATATACATACAATAAATTTGAGCTACCCATCCCAAGGTAAATGTGAAATTTCAAATTCGGTATTTGAGAAAAGACTTATAAGCAATTTATTTTATCAAATTCAATGCAGCCTAGAACAAAAATACCTCGTAGGCTCCAAGCCTATCTATTTTAAATTTCCGGACTCACTCAAATTCACCAAGAAACTTGAATAAAAATATTTAGCACAAATGAAGGAAAAAAAGAGGACAAAAAGAAATAAAGATTACTATTTTTGAAAAAATTGATGATTAACTATTGATTTATTGTATGATTAGGTCCATAGACTAAAAGTAGCCTAATATTTTCCTAAGTCTAATACCAGCCATTTCAACTTTTGTTGATTCTGGTAACTGCACCAAATGTAACTTGTAACTGGAGAGTAGTTGACAATTTCAATTAAGCTTGATTAATTTCATAGATATTGATAGATGCTCAAATATTTTAGAATCTTGTTAGGTAATTAAGTAGAGAATTTGCAGGCATGGAGAGAGAGACATAGAGGAAGGGAGGAAAAACAAAAGCTGCACTAGCTAGGGTGGTTATGGAGCCAAGAGTGGTTGGATTTTTTGAAGTATATATCCCCAAAAACCTACAAAACAACACATCTTATATTATGGAGCACACGTATTTCTTTGAAAAGTGACTATTCAAAGTCCTCTCCTACTCCTTCCTCATCATGCATCCCACCAAAATTGGACCCCAACATTGTTAACATGTCCTAATCTAATTATATATCTATTTATTCAACAACTTGTAATTTTGTTGCCTCATCTAATTATAATCTAATTGCATTTGTCCAAAATGCAAAGGGTCAACTCACTTTTCTGCTGATGACAAATGTGCCTATTTGCTCTTTTAGTCCATGTTTTACTGATTTAGCCATGTGTTAGGTTCTACATTTACTATATATAACTTGTTATTCAAGTTATTACAAGAAACTTTATTGCTTAATTGGAAATCGATCCACTTGATTAATTAGGGCCATCATCACAAAAATAATTGCTAAATAGTGTAAGATGCTAAGTTATCCTTCAACTTTTATCCATCCATTAATTTGTTTGGCATTTTATTGATAATCAGTTTTCCGGTTCAAATTAAAAAAAAAAAAAAGAAAAGAAATTATAGTAGCTTTTTGGAATTTTATTTTCACATATAAAAGGTTTATTTTCAAAGAAAAATATAGACTTTTATGAATAGCTATAAGTAGAGATGGATATTTGGTTGGTTTAGGTTAATTCAAAAAAAAAAATTCTTGGCTTGCTTGCTTCGCTAAGCAAGAATGGTTTTTAGCTTACACCGACACAATGGAGTAAATTACTTGCTTGATGTGTCTACTTAACTAGAGCAGAAGATTTGCGGAATTGGCTCTGTATATGTTTCTGAAACAATAAATATTAATTCAAATATTCTACTCATTTTAGTTGGTTCATAGCTTTCAAAGCTGGAATCCAAAGCCTGCTTTTAAATTTCAGAAAAATGCATATATATATATCACCTAACCAATCAGCCTATATATATATATATATAGAAAGAAACATGTTTGTCACAAGTCAACCCCACAAAGTCCCTTTCAACCCATTTGATAAATTTGGAGAATCATTATTGAGAGCTTAATTGCTTAATACGTGTGAAGCAATAGTTCTGTTACATAAGATAATTATAATTATAACTCTCACCTTGTATTCTTGCACTAACTAAAGCGCCAAAAATTGCTTATTGTTCAATTTTCGATTCTTGAACATCTTTGCTTCTAATTGTAATAATTATATATCATGTCTATAAGCACAAAATAAGCAAGCAAGAAACAGAAGGTTGTTTTGGTTTAGTGAAGTAAGCAAGAAATGATGTACGATACTTTACTTTCCAGAAGCTTTAGCAAGCATGAGAAACAGAAGTTGGGATATGGGGGACTCGTCATTTTCTTCCTCATTGCATTCAGCTTCTGCACAGTTTTTAAGCCTTATTTGGGTTCTCTACGAGTTTGTAAGTATCCACATTCTTACACTTCTTTCAGTTCAAACTAAGTTTCAGAGTTTTTGTCCATTGATCAGCTTCTAATTGTTCAGAGAATCACAGTACTCTAATATAAAAACCTCCAAAGCTCTCAAACTACTTGTTCCAACTTCATTTGAAAAAGCATTTCCAATGTATAAAAAACTGAGCCCAGTTGAGCTGAGATCAATAAAGGTGTACTTGGCTGGTTTACAATTTATAGTTAAAGAAAAATAAAAAACACTTGCCTCTATCATCTCGAGTTCAAGGTGGACTAGCTTTTTTAATAAACGAGGTAATAAGTAGTAAGCTTGAGTTCAGCAAGTTTTTTGAATAATTAGAACGAACTTTTTCGAGTCAAATCCTAAATAGCTCATGACCGTTTTGACGCATTTATAGCGATAAATTTCAACCGTAATGCCAAATAATCGGTGCTACTATGTGTAGCCATAACATAATTCCCAAACTGGACTTGCAGTGAATTTGCGGTTATCTATTGAAGCTGGCCGAAAATTGGAAATTGTAAATGATACAAGCATCTCTCTGCTATCATCCAGAGGTAAGTTTTATCTGTCATTTTTTATTTTATTTTAAAATGTTTAAAGTACTTCTGGGGAATTCAATAATCACTAATTAAGTCTTATTTATGTTTTTTATGATTTAGAAAATATAATGAAGAGTACACTAATGTTAAATGATAGAGGCAGCCCACAGCAAATAATTAAGAGTAAGTTCTTTGAGGCATTCTGTTACAGAAAATTAGTTAGCATTTTAATATTAATATGTATGAGCCTCAAATTCTCTCTCTCTATATATAAAATTGTGTAGCATAAACTAATTTCACCTTCATTCTTAACTATGCAGAAATTGCAAGAAATAATAATAAAACGACCAACGACAAAAACAGTTCTCAGCAAATTATAATAAAAGGTGAGTGATTTATCTTAACAATTGGCCCAAGTCAGCTGAGTTAGTTATTAAAAAAAAATAGTTTTGGAGATGCAGAAATTATCGAAGAAACGACAATTGTCAACAATACAAACAGGTCTCATACGGTAGCAGGTGGTAAGTCCATTTTCACAATTAAATTAATAAATAATTTAAATGTAGAAAAATTATATGTTTTTCCTGATAATAATTCAGTTTTGCTATTTAGTAGTTGAAGACGTTGAAAATAGAAGGAAGAATCCGCTATTATTCACTAATTTACCAAACCTATTTGTTCTTTTCCTACATTATATCGTGTATATATATATTTATGTTTGCAAATTTGATTAATGGCATATTAAATAACTTGCAAAGTTGGAGATCCCAATTGATTTGAATCAGAATTCATATGTTAAACAAGTAATATGATATTAGGTCAATTTGTCATTTTCTTTCCTTTTCTTAATATGAGCATTTTATTAATTAAAGGGGTTAACGGAAATTTTAAGAATGCTTTACCTTAACACTTAATGTGTCGACTCAGCGTGAGCATATGTTTATCCTAGCATAGTGGGTTTGGATATCCGTAGTAAATATAATATATATATATATATTAGTACAAGCACTTGGCCATTTTTCGGATGTATAAGTTCAAAATTTTATGTTACACATGGAATTGAAGGGGTTAATTGATCTTCCTGCGAAACAATTTCATATTTTTTATGTGAGATATAGGGTTGAAAGTGGAGAAATTAATGTCTAACTCTGAGTTTATTTGATTTTATTTTATTTGTGAAAATGCAGATATTATAATAAATAATAAAATTGAGCCTGCAGTATGCCATGCTGCTGAAAGATCGGACTTCTGTGACATAAAAGGGGACGTTAGAATTGATGCGAATACCTCAACTGTTTTTGTAGTCTCATCTGAAATTGATATTGCAGCTGCAAACACAAGCTCCTGGAAGATCAGGCCTTATGCACGAAAGGGTGACATAGTAGCAATGAAGAACACCAGGGAATGGTCACTTAAACTTGTTACCAATCACAAGAATTCCATCCCTAAATGCACTCAAAATCATAATGTTCACGGAATCCTTTTTTCCCTTGGGGGATATTCAGGAAACCATTTTCATGCCTTCACTGACATTATTGTTCCTCTGTTCTCAACTGCTCGACCCTTTAATGGTGTCGTACAGTTTCTTGTTACGGACATACAACAACGGTGGATTGCAAAATTCAGAGTACTATTAAAGGCACTATCTAGATATGATGTTATTGACATTGACAATACAGGACATGTACATTGCTTCACAAGCATAATAGTTGGTCTTAAACGACAATCAAGCAAAGAGCTTAGTATTGATACCTCAAAATTCGGATATTCTACAAAAGACTTTAGGCAATTCTTGTCAAGTTCATATTCGTTAAGGAAGACAAGTGCAATCAAGATGAAGAATAATATGAAAAAGAGGCCTCGGCTTCTGATAATTTCAAGAAAGAGATCTCGAGCATTTACCAACGTTAATGAAATTGCTAAAATGGCAAGAAGATTGGGGTATAAAGTAGTTGTGGATGAACCTGATGCGAATGTGTCAAGATCTGCACAGGTTATGAATTCTTGTGATGTGGTGCTGGGAGTACATGGAGCTGGTTTAACGAACATTGTTTTTCTTCCTGAAAATGCAGTCTTGATTCAAGTAGTGCCCTTTGGTGGGGCAGAATGGGTTTCAAAAACCTTCTTTCAAGAGCCTGCAAAGGAAATGAACATAAGGTACTTGGAGTATAAAATCAGTATAGAAGAAAGCTCTTTGATACAGCAATACCCAGCCGACCATGTGGTTTTAAGGAATCCCTCTGTAATCCAAAAACAGGGCTGGGAAGCATTCAAGTCTATATATTTTGACAAGCAAAATGTAAAGCTTGATTTGAATAGGTTTAGATACACATTGCTAAAAGCTTTAGAGCTTTTGCATCAGTAAAATGTGCTTTCTTAGGATTATCAACTAGATACCAAACATTATCCCGCACCTTGAATTTGTATTTCTAAAATTCAAATTGTAAAGTTCAAACTGAAGTTCTTATGCTATGGAATGGTAAATTTGGTATTCTAATATCTATTTTGATTTTGAAAATTAATTAAATAGGTAATATTTTTAAAAAATTACAAAGTTTGGTGGATGTTTTATATAAATTAAAAAAAGTTAATATTCCTAATTAGTATAAAAGTATATTTCCCTAATTGATATACCAATTTATATACCTATAAACAAATGAGCCTTGTCACAAACAAAAAGGCATCAATAACAATCAATAATAATTATAACTTGTTACCAAATAGAATATAAATCGACACATTAAAATGGCCCAAGTCCAAATTAATAAAGAAACTACAGCTTGGACCAAGCCTGAGCTGTTAAGCAATTAAAGTTTAACATCTTGAGCTATCGTAAACTCACAGCTTCGTATTATATATAGTTTCCAAGCAAGTCCTACTCCACAACTCATACAAGCAATGTCAGAAAGTCAATTACTAATTAAGTACTAACAACTAAAATTCCTAATCAGTAACCTCAAAGGAGTTCTCTAAACCTCTATATAAAGGACCCGCCTCATACCTCAAAGGTGCATTCATTTAATCCAATTAGCTAATAAATATTTTATAGCCTTAATCTAACTCAAGCATTGAAGTATCTTCACGTACATCTCTCCATGATGCTCCATCCTGTCATTTTTACTTATAATCATCGTATTTATTTATTATGCGTGCTCTACTAATAAATTTGTACCGCACTATGTATCATTTCGTAATATTTGAAAGAAAAAGTATCAGTACCATCTGTAGGAAAAAATATCAACTATTGAAATATTAGGTTCCTCTTTCGCATATACTTTTTTCTAAATAGACTAACAATTCATCAATAATGGCTGAAATTAAGAGCACCCACGATCCATAGCCAGAAAACTCCGAAAAGAAATTATTATAGCAAGGATCAAAATCAGCTATTGTTATAGCACTTGTAGTAACTATCGCTCCCAGACAAATTTAATCCTTCACTCAACCACATGCCGAAACTTATTTTTATTCCATCTCCCATACAATACAGGAAAAAGAGTTCATTCTTACTTACCACATCATTATCTTTTCCTTGACGAAAAATCATATAGGACAGAAAACGATGTAGGACTTTGAAAGTTAGATTGATTAATTTAAATATTTTTTTCTGACATCTCGCCCTAGCTAAGCGGTCCGAAAAGGGCAGGTTGAGCAAAGCTCTTGACAAACTTCTAGGATGACGAGGCTAGCTTGTGTAGTGGATGTTGGGTTTCAATATGAAAAATAAGCAATAGAATAAGATAATTATAATAAAATAATTATTCCATCAGTGATCCATTTAAATGATTAAAGTAATAAAATTATTTAAAAGAATACATCTTTTGCAAATTCTTCAAAACTTCAATCTATTATTTAAAAGAATACATCTTTTGCAAATTCTTCAAAACTTCAATCTACGAGGCTAGATTGTCGCAAACCACAAGTCGTCCAAGTGTCCAAACTCTAGCTTGTGTAATGGACAGTTGAAAAATTCTAAATCTATTTTAGAGGGTTGAGTGATTAGGGAGTACGATGGTGCTAGCTATCTTACGCTCTATGTTTAGTTTTGTGGCTATGAGTAAGAACTATCTGTTAGACTGTCTCTTAAATCTTATATTTGAAAACTTGAGGTCATAAATAAATAAATTATAATTATTTATTTAAACCTTTTAAATAAATAAATCATAATTAAAATATTATTTATTTAATCTAATATTTATCTTAATAAATTTTGGACATAAATCAATTAAGTCAAAACTTAATAATTTAGGTAAAATTGTAATAAAATATAAATTATAATTTTGTCCTTAATTTTCCAAAACTTATTTGTAATGAAGTCATACTTGATTCGATTTTCATACTTGATTCGATTTCTCGTTTTCACTTTCTCATATCCATTTTTATGTGCTTGACCTTCTAGGTTTCAAATATGTTGGCAACAAATATAAATTTAATTAATTAATTAATATTTGAAGGTCAAGTACATTGTTTAACGTCAAGTACATTGTCTAGCGTCAAGTACATTGTCTAGCGTCAAGTTATTACTACTCAAATATTTAGAAAGTCAAAATAGTTTGACTTAACCTTTCAATGCATGATTTATCGATGTAATTAATATCCCTTCATCACTAATGTTTTGATTTAGTAATTAGGCATGGAATATATCGGACTATGTCCTGCTTTACTACATCATGTTTAGTATCTTTAATATTAGTCATTTGATCACTTGTATATGAAATTCCGTAATTCTTATTTGTTAATTTCATTTTTATCTTTGCGCAAGGATTTCTTTAATCAATAGTATACATAGAATAAACAATCAATACTAATAGAAAACAATTAGAACATTGTTCCTGATTTACCTAGGGTGATGAATCCACTTTTAATTACACAAGTATCTCCATACAATTCCTACAATATCCAATAAATCATTGTTTATTATTCATGAATGAATAACATGAACAAATAATCAAAACATAGTCATCTCCATACAAGATAGCTTAATAATGTCAAGTTAAATGATCACTTACACAACCATCACTTGAATATTCCATAAACACAAGTAACTCTCCATATGGAATTCTCATGCAGGTCAATTCAGTGGACTTGTTTAAATAACAAGCACCTCCATATTAGTTCTAGATATCACATATATCTCAACTTATAGCAACAGCTACTTCTTTAAGGAATATGTACCAGTCTCAGCAGCTTTAATCATCATCTAATAATGAGGAGAACATTGACCAAGAATATTTAGAGACATTGCTTTAATGCAAAACAAAACTCATAATTATAACCACATTATAATTTATTTTGCAAAGCAATATTATCTCATGGACTTTATCTTTTACCAAGATTCAATCAATAATTTATTTTGCAAAGCAATATTATCTCATGGACTTTATCTTTTACCAAGATTCAATCAATAGAATATAAAAGATAAATAAATGCCTTTTACTAATAATAAATTATTTATTGCATGAAATATTATATCCAGAATATAACCAATCAAATTGGTTATAGGACTTATAACTAACAGTGGAAAGCGGAGCATGGAAATGAATCGAATCATACATTAAAATGGGGGAAACTAACCATCAAAAGTGTCTTTTGGTGGAATGACCTGAAGAGTTGGAAGAACTCTTGGATTAAGTATGCTCGCTTAAGGAAAATCTTAGGATGGGTGACCTCCTGAAAAGCTCCTCATTTCATCTGTGGGACAAAACCGTGCGGATCTTGTCAATCAAGGATGGGATGGAATTGGCTTGATCCAAAGCGAACAATTCCTCTTATGATTGGAGTCATGATGTGACAATTGGTATCAAAGTTGATCCCCTCTAGTAGATGTGTGGTTCGAGGACAAACTATACTGGAACTGGTGGGCGTGCAACATCTCAACCCGACTAAGCAATTCGAAGAGTGCGGGTAGAGCAAAGCTCCTAGCAGGCTTCTAGGATGGTGAGACTAGCTAGGGTAATGGAATGTGAGGCTTGAAAATGAATCGAATCATACATTGAAAAGGGGAAAACTAATCATCAGAGGCCCCTTTTAGTGAAATGGTATGTTTTCCCAAGTAACTGAAAGGTCATTCTCTTATAATCATCCCAAGGATTTTCCTCCCTACTGATATGAAGAGTAGAAAGAAACTTTAAAACAAGCTCATCAAATCTTGATAGTTTCATACTTTCGAATTTCACTAAACCAACTCTATCCAAATACTCTTCAGAATCTGTTGGAAACCTCGAGAAACAAGACTGGCATATATATCAAGAGCTCTGTAAACGAATGGAGAATTGGAAAAAAATAGCCTTTTATAGGCTTTTGATTATGTTTCACAGGGTCTTTGGGTTCGTAGCGCCATTAATTGAAAACTTGAAAGTTTGAGAATAGAGAGAGAGAAAATGGCTTTACTAAGAAAGAGAATCTATATGCAAAAGTAGGGTTACGAAAAATCAAAGAAAAGAAAATATTTTTAAATAGAAAATTGATCGGACACGCACGCGTTTGAATGGAACATGGATGTGTCGATAATCTAAATTTACGTTTCATTGAAATTAACAAATCACACGAGTCAAAATTCCCTACACGCTTGTGTCAAGCAACCAAAATTGGAAGTTTGCCATTATCATGCCAAATTTGAAACAAAAGTGGTGTTGTTGCACAATTATTTTTAATTTAATATAATTTAAACATTCTTCCTTCATTGAGATAAAAAAATAACTTAAATTAAACAAAGCATTCAAAAAATTAAGATCGACCGTGACCAACATAAGGAATGGAACTTAGCGATTTTTCTCCCAAAGGATAGTGTATGCACTAAACCTTGTGAGGTGGGAAAAGTCATATCGATTGTATAAATTGGTAAACTATAAGTGAGAGGAACTAAAGATGAGTATGGTAAATAGATAATAAAAATAGTCTATTACAGAAATTGCAAGTGCTAAAGTGAGAATTATTTCCTAGACTTGTGAATAGAGGAATGCTGGATGGTAATAGATTGACTTGATTACCTAGTGCATTACTTTTTATATGGAATTCATTTCTGCAGTGAATAGAATAATGTCAAGAAATAAATGGAAATGTTCATCGTGTAGCAAATTATGAATGGAGATATTTATAGTGTCAGTAGCCATAATGAGAGACTTAGCTGTTTACACAAGAACTATCATCAAATTAAATATTATTATGCTATTAATTATGGATGCCTTGGAGTTGGAAGTCAGAATAGAAATTGAACATATATATATATATATATATATATTGAGATATATTGATACTATAATTGTGAAACTACTGAGAATGATGAATGGGGAATCGTAGTTGTTGATTGCCTATAAGTTGGGTTATGTTTGAATTGCTTCAATATACATTCTTAACAAGAAGGAATTAGTTTCTTAATGTAGTCTAAGTTAAAGGTTATTAAAAATTAAGGATTAAATAAGGTCATAAATTGAATACTCAACGAGCTGTTTGGAGATAAAAAAAGGATCGATGATTTCATTGTAAATAGAA